ACAATGGTAGGTCCGCTGCGAGAGCAGGGCACAAAGCAAAAGGGAAAGAAGAGGCAGGGAGTGAGGAAGGGAGGAGAATGAAATGAATTGAACATAGGAACGCTAAGATGGCACACCACACACAAAGAGAGAGAGAGAGGGAGTTACAGAGAGTGAGAGAGTGAGAGTGAGAGTGAGCTAGTCTCATACTAGAATCCAGCAAATGGAATGAAGTCCAAGAGAAGGAACAAAGGAAAGAAACTATACAGACAGGAAAGGACACCCCCAAAAAAACACACATATAATATATATATATATACGTATATAAGATGAGATAAGGCGCCTGCTGCACAGGCTACCTTATTTGATCTTGGTTAAGCCTTTGTTCAGGTAGCCGCGGTGGGAGAGAGAAAGAGAGAGAGAGGAACTAACATAACTAAGGACGTCCTGGAACCCCTGGCAAGTAATTGAGGTATGTCCAAACAGGCTAAAGGGCATGAAAAGAATACTAAATAGAACGGCAAGGATAAAGGCAGTTGAAAGGATGCGAGGAAAGAGTGGTATGCATTGAACATAGGAACGTTAAGATGGCACGTGAGGAAATGATATGCACTAACGCAGGAACAGCATACCGAATGGAGAGGACCATTATATACAACAATGGTAGGTCCGCTGCGAGAGCAGGGCACAAAGCAAAAGGGAAAGAAGAGGCAGGGAGTGAGGAAGGGAAGAAGAATGAAATGAATTGAACATAGGAACGCTAAGATGGCACACTACACACAAAGAGAGAGAGAGGGAGTTACAGAGAGTGAGAGAGTGAGAGTGAGAGCGAGCTAGTCTCATGCTAGAATCCAGCAAATGGAATGAAGTTCAAGAGAAGGAGCAAAGGAAAGAAACTATACAAACAGGACACCTACAGTGCATGACACTCTTTGGGCTGCTGGATGGAAAAGGTTCTTTGCGGAAACAGAGTTTCTGGTGTGGGAGAACTGGAAAGCGTCGACAGAGAGAGAGAGAGAGAGAGAGGGAGAGAGAGAGAGACCAGCAAACAGAGTACAACACCCTTAAGGCCTGCAACAAACAATAGGATGGCATACCAGCCAAACGGCTCTAGTAGATTATAATGCCGATCCCCCCAAGCATCAACTGACCACTATGATGGCACACATGGCCCTTTCAGATCCTCGATGTGTTTCATCAAAAAGTGCATATATGCCATGTATTGTCTCGATTCCTGTGTGCCATCAAAGTGTGAACCTGTATAATTATTATAATTTCATAATAATATGTTGTCATAGAAAATATATTATCATGAGTATGTTTCAGTGTCTTCATCATAATCAATTTTGTAATATTGTATGGTGGTCTCTTTAGGTTGTTTTATTATTTTTGAATTCAACATTTCTAAATACTGCTTCCTTTTAGTTTCAAAGTCCCCTACTGGTCTACCTATGCTTTTCTTTTCAGATGCTTCTCCATTTTCCTTAAATCATTTTTTCTCATTAGTCTTTTCATCAATGGTTTTTAACAACTGTAAGATCAATTTAAGACTATTATTATATCTGTTCATTTTCTTTATCAGCTCATCAATTTTATCAGTATTATCTAAAGTAATAGATCCACCATCATCGTTTGAAACTTTCATTGTCTTATCTTGTCACTCTTGCTGATTTTAAAGCTATATGGATTACACTTACACTTTTTGCCTTTAGTGTTGATTTCAATTTCATTCTCAGTTGTAGTTTTCCCTGGCATAAAGGACAGTCAAAGGTAATGAATTTGCTTGTTAGTTTTTGTTCTTCATCTAGTTTTATTGTTTTTGGTTCTTCATCTGATAGTTCAAACTCTTCGGGGATTTGTGTTTTATTCATCTTTTTTTTGGTCTTTTTTGGTGGCATGTATATTACATTTTAGATAAGTAATTATCAATTTTGACATTTCCAGTGAGTATTTACAACACTGCTTAAGTTTATTATCTTTAACAACTGGATATTTAGCACTATCATTTTTTCCATATCATCTCTTCCTGTTATATAAGCATCATGTTCAGATAGCGTCATAATATATAACTATAATTAGATAATGCTTTAACACCATCTAATTATGTAGTGCTTGGGAGAACACTAAAAACGAATTCAACTGTAAGGGCAAAAAATCCATTGCTGAAAAGCAAACTAATTACCGACTTATGCGGATTAGCGTAGCCTCACCTACCGCACTCTGTCCATAGGAGATCTGCTAATATTTAATAATGTTTTCTATGTAATTTTATTAATAGATGAATAATGACACCGCACCACATATTCAACCTATCAAAGAAATCAATTATGAATTCACTCAATCAAAATATGCTGTTGCCTCTAAAGTGCCCTTTAGATCAATCATAACCGGTCCGTCTGGTAGTAGCAAATCAGTGCTACTAACAAACATGAATATGGACACCTACAAGGAAGTTTTTCAAGGGTGTATATCTGGTCACCTTCAATAAATGTTGATAGCACCTGGTTGCCAATCAAGAAATACATAAAGGAAGAAATGAAAGTGAACACTGGTAAAGAGCAGGTTTTGTTTGAAGACTTTCACAGTGAAGATTTAATGAAAGTCATTGAAACACAACATAGAATAACTGAATACAGTAAAAAAACATAAATAAATAAAAACAATCCTAATAGTCTTGGATGATATAGCAGATGATCCCAAAATAGCAAGATATTCAAACATATTTGATTCCCTTATGTAAGAGGTAGACACAATGGTATTAGTGTTATAACATCTGTTCACAAATTTAATGCACTGACCACACTGATAAGAGTTAATGCCACACACCTATTCTTCTACAAGGTCAGCAACTTTAAAGAAATAGAACTGGTTCAAAAAGAACTATCAGCAATACCTAGAAGAAAAGAAACAATATCCAAGAAAGTAAGCAGGTCTTATATAAACTTTATGAAATAGCCACTGAACAGCCACATATGTTTTTAGATATTAATCTTCTGGAAAAGGATAGGAACAAGATGTTTATGATCAATTTTTCACACTATTTGCAAATTGATGATTGATAATGTTAACTATGTTAATATGATCAATCTTTATACCAATGAAGGAGCACAAATATTATAGCAGGTAGTTTATACATAATCCTATTCGATTTCAGGATGTGAGCAGCTGGGAAGGTTCGCCAAGGGTACACATTCTATCACGAGCGAAATGAACCCCAAAGGTCCCTACCACATATATATATATATATATTACTTTTTTTGCAAAGTCTTCTCTGCTGAGTCTTGACTCACTTTTCTGCTGGCAGCTCCCTGCTTTCGTCGGGAGGGAGTAGTCGCGGTGGTGGTTCAAGCAGGGAGGTTTGTTCAAGGACAAATGTCTGATTTCACCAACTTCGGGGCCTGGAAGTACATACCTCAACTGTCACATTAATCTATATTAATCAATCAATCTTGATTTTTTGTTGCGGTGCGATGCTGCGGCCGCCCATGGTGTTTTGGCATGCCAGCGCAAGAGGGGCACAGCCACATTTTAGAATATTATCAAACTCCAAGTCACTGAGATAATGTGAAACACAATGAAATTGCTACAGCATTATTGCGACAGCATTTGAAACCTTTTGAGCTGTATGATGTATATATATATATTTATTTATATAAATAGCACTTTAACTTTTCCTTTATCAACCGGACCATGGGATCCATATGCCATCTAGTATTCATGAACGTGCGTGCAGCAATCACAGGGTGGGTCCCCCGATAGATGGCATATCCCCACCCTGATTTCGAGATCCCATCTTATCGAGGGACCCTATATTTTTTTATGGTTGGCAGAATTTTTGAACCACCAGACGTTGAACCTGCAGCTTTACCAACACGCATCTTGAGGCAGAAGTTCAACCTGCCAGCGCAGCTCGCAAGAGAAAGGCTTTACACTCAGCCTGCATATACGTACATGGCCGATCATTGCGGCATTTCATTATTTGGTTGCTGAGGTATTGAGAAGGGACCCTTCAGATAGACTATTTGTCGGAAACCTCCCACTTGTCACTGATGCTGCCACTGCAGCTTGGCCATGGGTTGCTTTGTGGCGTCAACCTTTCTTCCTCTTCAGTACGCTGCGCTTGAGGGCCCCTTGCTAGTAAGGTCAGAGAATGCTTCGGGGATGGAGCAGCGGACTTAGACATATTGTCCTCCAAAGTGTCCCAAAGAAATTGGAGCTACCAAGGTCCGCTTCATACACTGGATTCCAGACCGAACCACTGGCCTTTGGTACGGATCAGTTTTCTTGCAAATGTCTTCTTTGGGTGAAGCCAAGCGAATTGTCGATGATTCCTCCATTCAGAGCATCAGAATTGGCAAGCGATTCTTGGCCTCATGCATACTTTTTGGCGCAGTCTAACTAGCCGTAACTAGCCTGTGCTTGAACATTGCTCGGACCTGTGTTTCTGACTCTCCTGGAAGTAGCAAGTAGTTGTTTATGTGACAGGGACAGGCTTGTTGCTCTCGAATAGTCTCAGGAAAGCTTCGCATTGGCTTTGCACCATTGGCTGAGAACGAAAGGTGGCCTCCGAGCTTCAAAGAAGCCGACCGCCCTACTCTGCAACATAAAGTGGAGGGGAAGGCTGTTGATGGATGATTCCTCACAGCATCCTTGTGCATGATGAGAGAGAGAGAGATCATTTTTGTCGGTGTAGGTGCGTGCAGGGGCTAGTTAGTAGGAATCGACAGCCCACAGAAGCGCCGCTACTGCGAGACATGTGCTGGCACATTGAGTGCTCAGTGGCTTGGCTCACTTCTGTTGAAGGGTGGCCTTCGTTGAAATGCCAAGTCAGTTGTTTTCTTCCTGCGCATGACTGTTTTGAAGGGTCATATTGATGGTGCCGCACATGGCTCCGACGTGCTCAAGCCATCTTACAGGACATCACGGAAAGAAGAACACATTTGTGGTCGGACCTAGTGGGCGACTGCAGCTGGAAGGTTTGGTTGGGTAATGGAGTGAGCTTATTAGCAGCTTCTACACCACCAGGTCCTCTGGGGGTTTGCGGAACTGTTCAGGGCGGCAAAGTTCCCTCAATTCCAGCGCAATGGTCATTTAGCAGTTGAACTCAAATGTTTTAATGCCAGGCACTCAGGATGTGGACCGGACTGGGACCCTGTAACTGTAAGACAGAATGTGGCCAAGGAATTGACTTGGGAAAGGCGTATGCCGAGGCGGCACTTCACTACAAAGAATAAATGCCCGGTGAACCGTGTTCGCTTGAGGCTTGGGTTGTTGATAGCGCTTCTTCTAGCGACAGGCCCATATCCACTCCGATTGCAATTTTATAAATCAAGTTACTGTATGCCGCAACTCAATCTTGACAATGCAGCTGAAGGCCATGGACGGCCACAGACACCAAGAGAAAGTGGCCTCCTTTTTGTGCTAACGTGGAGGTTCTGCAGACTGCAGATACTGTTATATCACTTGCTTGACAATTCATGTCTTACTTGATTCGCTCAGCTTGACATGCCGTTTGCTAAGTTTTCTTCTCCACGCCGCCTGCGATACTCGTTCGAACCCTTGCCCCGAATCTGGATGCGACGAGGTGGAGCTAATGCCTTAGCAGCCCTATAGCCTTGGTAGACATGTGCCGTGTTGTAGTTTCAATCAGCCATGAAGGAGATGTTCCACAACATGTTTCTTTATTGTTCGAGGCATTTACCAGCACTTCACCTTGGAGGCGGATGCCATATACATCATTTTCGCTTGCTTGAGCTTTTTCATTTGCTCGTCAAGCGCTGTGCGCTCACAACGTGTTGTGTACATGGACAGAGGTCACCGGAGAAAGATTAAAGGGTGGCTTGTCAGGCGGTCCGTGGCTTATGTCCTGAGTTTAAAGCTCTTTTAGATGAACAGGCGGACCCAATTTCTCTGCATATATTTGTACGAGGTTTCGCTGTGCTTTGTACTTACTTCATCATTGGGTTGGTGGGAGCTTGCACCAGCTGTGTGTATCCATTTGCTTTTGCGGGAGGTTTCCAATATTGTTGTTTGTGCCTGTGCCTGTGCCTGTGTATGAGCATCCTTCTGAGGGTGTGGCCATGAGAAGCACAATTCTGGGACTTGACTCTACAAACATCGTCGCATCCGGCAAGCGAGTAGGTCATAATATGCTGGAGGCAGCCGCAAAACATTTCTCGATATGTACCTATATGTTCACTTTCTCCCACCCTTGTTCAAGCGCCGGTGGCCACGTGGGCGGCCTGTGGGACTGACGTGCGGGTGTGTGTGTGTGTGTGTCAACCTCTGTTACTAAGAGTTCCTTTCCCTTTTGTTTTCGTGCATATGCAGGGGAACTGGGCACTCTGTGACTGACCCAGTTCAACGAAGCTAGGTCACAGAGTGGGATATTCGGACTGATCATCCGAACGTACCTGCGACAGTTTTGAACTTTTGCCCACGCTGTTCCAATCTCTCTTTTTACTTTCATGGTGGTTCCACGATACTTCCCCTAAACCTTTTCCCTTCAGCCGCCTTTAGCCGCTCGTGAGCTGCCGTTGTGATTTCTGCAGATGCGCAAGAAACTATTTGTTAAAACGCCTACAAATTTCTTGGACCTTTCGCCATGCGGTTCTCTCGCCTTTCTTTCACCTGGGAATTGAGTTAACTGAAAGCCAATGTCAGAGTGTGAATCGCTCAGTCGTCCCACTTGGGTGCTGGGTGTGATCCTCCGCAACTGCTTCAGCCGACAGTTGAGCCAGGCCCTGTCGAGATGCAATTTCCATGGCCGTACCCATATTCACCACCACCTCAACCTCCCTCAGCGACACCTCCAATGATCTCACATTTCCAAACAAGCCACTGCCCTCAACTCCAGCAGGATCAACACGATCCGACGCAGCAGACACCACACATCTCACAGACCCTCGACCATCTCACCCAGCACCCAGGCGACATCAACGTCACCGTCAGCACGGCCGAAGACGCCGACGACATCACCACCGCAGAGGCCGTTCGAGAGGCCGCACTACACATCGAACACCACGCAGCACTCACCACCACGCATCCTCACGCCGTCACCGCTCCTCTTCCTATACCTCCTATTCCTACTCACGCAGTCCCTCACCATCCCGCAGCCGCTCAAGACCAGCCATTTCCTTGATACCCAACACAGATTGTCTACAGCAAGGCTCTACCTCGAGCCATCCACAAACCACGTACCCCACACATCCTTCCGTCCGCAGGGTCCTCAAAAAACTCCACAAGAACAACTTGAGATTTGGATGGACTATCATGCTGCACAACTCGACACACCCAACAAACCTCATCACACCTACATTGCCCGCCTCCTGCTGGACAGCGGCCTCACTTACCAAAATGTATGCGACTACCGACAATTCACCCACATCAAATGGAATCCTACAACCAACCAATACGACCTTTTCCACTTCAACCACATTTCCATTCCCTCCCTGTCACAGAAAGCACAGCGCCGCTTCCCCCCTGCTGCGACTCGAGCCGCCTCCACATCACCCCACCAACCTCAACCAACATTTCACTTGATTCCGCACCCATATGAATGGTGCGGAAACACAGATATACGGAGGGCCTTAGATGTCCTTGACCACATTGGCCGCCGCCCACCGCGGGATCCCAATATCGATCCCGCGCAGCCACCTGCCGACCCTCACCCCATCTTTCCGCCCGGCAGCGCCCTGCAACCTGGCCAGCAGGTCGCTCTCACCAACAACATTCAATACCCACTTCTCACACCACAACCCCCCCTATCACTGCGCGCGCCACCACACAAACATCCCCGATCTTGCGCCTCCACGAAGAGCAGCAAACCTCCCCACCGATCATTCCCCTACGACTCCACCAAGACCAACAAACCACACCTCCACGTGTCTTGCATTTCGCACAGCAGACCACACCACCTCGGGCCACTGCCAACACCACGGCACAGACGGAACTCCGCGCCATTGCCCTGTACCCAGCTTTTGCTCGATCCACTCCACCTACCACCAACACAACAACGCCACCAGCTCCTTCTCCTTCCATCACTTCAGCTGCAAACAAGCAACCCAATGCCGACCACTTCGAGCACGCCGATCTCATCCCGGGGCCTCTCTTGGCCAAGCGCCCGCCCCCACCTTTACCCACTAATTATCGCAACCCAGTGGGCGGCGCCCCAACACGTGGTCGATCGCAAACCCCTCCTCGCACGCGCTTCTCACACAAAGCGCGTCCACAAGAGGATCCCCCACGCCGGCACCACACTCATCGCCCCACAGCTCCTTTCCTGCCAACACAGTCACCCCCCATCGATCCCACTTTTCCACCATCAACCAGCCACCCAATACCATGCCCACATTCGGTGCCACTTCCCCAGCTCCACCACCGCCAGGCTGGTTGGCACAATATATAACACCCCTGGCCCACCCCAATGGGGTACTGGCACTACCAGCCGCCAACTTCCGCACATCACCCTATTGGTCTGACCTCTTTATGTTGTTTTTTCACTCATCTAACATTTCGATTCCTTTTATCCACCTCAATCTTGGTTTTGCAATGCATCCGGTTTTGTTACCATGTGCCTTGGCGTTTCCCACCTGGTCACTATAAACCACAGCCAGACCTCAGCAGCCGTCTCACTTCGCACCACGAAAAAAACGCGGCCGTTCGATTTCACTCGGTTTTTTAGCTCACAAGGGCAGTCATGACACATACTGCAACATGTCGACTCCCTCCTTTTCCCTTTTTAGCGTTGTCAGAGAATAGTTAAGGCCTTCTGACTGGGACCATGCTCTATTTCAGATGATCAGTCATTTTCTCCTTGTCCTTTTTTCATGCCCATAAGCGGTTCGCCATCCTTTCATAGCGATTGTGCTCAAACTATACAACGCTATCCAGCTTTTGATACGCTTGCCTGCTCGTCGCTCACCATGGACGCAAACTGGCAGCAATTTTGCTGGCAACACTGTGTTCAGCAGCAAGCGCAGGCAGCTCAGGCGAATACACAATATTCGCACACACAGACCTACGGTCCCATGACCCACTCGATCCGCATGCAGCAAGCACACCAACACCACCCCTACCAACCACCACAGACTCCGCCCACCACTTCTCCTACCACGCGCCATGACTTCCCACCACCACCTCCTCCACCACCTGCACCATCAGCTCACCACTCCGGCAGCCACCGCCTTCCAACACAGCCCAACTCACCCCACTCCTCCAACGCCGCCGCCCACGATTCCTTCCCCCAAGCCACCTACCCACCAATCCTGCTGACACCTTCTGGGACGCCAGCTCACTCCACGGCCACCAACTACACAAAACAATACAACCCACGCAGTGGTCACGCCGTGCTGGCATTGCCGGCCTTCCCACCTTTGAAGTGTTCCCTTGGCTTCTCGCAAACCATGGAACGGCTGACTTCACTGCACGCACACTCAGCCACGGCAAATACTGTGGGCTCATCATCGCGGAATCTGTATTTGCAACACACCTACTTCAGGACATCCGCGACAAACGGCTAGATCTCGACGCAATAGCCGAAGCTCTCCAAACAGCGCAGGGCACTGAGATCCCGAACAAGACCACTCAGGCCAGAGCATACCACGCACCACTCATCACACTTCGCGCACACCAACTGGAAGCCCACGTGCCCTCAAAGCCACCGCTGATGATTTGGAACGGGCCCAGGCCAAACTCCAAGCCCACGGTCTCCATCTCACACCACGCAAGGACGCCGGCCGTCGCTCACCGCGGCACCGGCTTCAGCTCCTCCTACCAAGCTGCCCACACACCAACCTCCTTCACTCCCTGACGTCCTCCAACCTCCACACCCATCACTCAAAGATGACGTACCAGAGGCCTGGACCACGGCAGCCATCCAGAGTTGGGTCTCCACCTTTGAAATCGAGATTCAAGAGTCTGCCAAAGAGGGGACTCGCATCCTACAGACCGGCAAGGTCACGACTGAGCAGCTCAAGGAAGCAGCCACACGCTACGGCTTGCCTCTTGCCAAAGTTCAGCGCTCCACTATGGAATCCCTTCAAAGCTTAGTCAGTATCGGGGCGGCTCTCGCCTGCTGACTCTGCCTCCTCGGCGGCGGCCAGCAGTCTCCCAACTTCACCAACATGCAACATCTTTTCCACCTCCACAGGGCCCTTTCCACCCTTATTCACCGATCACAATACATCGAACGTGCCGACGCCCTCTTTGCCACTGGCCTCATACACCTCACACCTACCCCTCCAATACTCACCGCTCACAGCAGTGGCGGAAGCGCTTCCGCCAACTTCACATACTTCCCCACACCTACCATTTCCACAACTTCCTTTCCTCCAATTCAGTCTACATCAAGCTCCAGTTCAACACCCAACCCCCTCACCGCTGTTACCATCAACACGGCCACTTCTACATTGGCTCCACTGCTATCGGCGTCCCCCACCGCGAGCGCAATCGGCGTGCCAAGCTCAAACAACTCCAAAACAACATCCCGGTCTCAGCCGAACTCTCTCTGCGCTATTGGCAAGCACACAACAACATCCACCACTACACCACCGTCCAACTTTCCTCACATGACACATACGACCAGGCGTGGATTCACGAACGCAACATAACACAACCAATTGGATGGCGCCTCTCAACTGGCCTTTCATCTCGCACCACAAGCTCAAAGCCCAAGGCTGGCAATTCACCAAGCACAGGGCGCACTTCTACTCCCGCCTTGCCACACACAAACGCCTTTTCCGTCGCCTACGCCGACGTCAACACACCCTGAGAGAACCTCACCTCTTCACCTCCACGAAACACCACGCCCTCACCATCCTCCGCGACCTTACAAAGCACACCTCAGCATC